AGAAAGTAAACTAATACTTAAATAAAGTAGCAATAGAAAGCAGTAATGATAATAGTATAGGAGTAAGTGATATGGAAGTAAGATTGTGCACAAATGATAATATTGCATAAGGATAATAATAATAACCAATCCCAGCTGTCATCGGGTCAGTTCAGTACTGCTGCAAATTCAAACAAATGGAGAATACACATGGATGTAAACACACTTAGGCTGATATATATCATCTCTATACTCTGTGAATGAAAATCTTCACATGGTGATCTGGTTAATTAACCTGCTGTGTCTTTTTGTCTTTATCTCTCTGTGGGATCCAGCATTGAACTGAAATTCATCTCTCTTTTCCCTCTTCGAGCTGCTTCAGGTTTTTTCCTGACGAGTGAAACCAGTCGGCTTTGTTGTCTGATCCACTGAAGCCTCGCACCTGGAAACACCTCGTGTCACACACCTCACCCAGCTCCAAAAACATGTGACCATACAGGCTACACATAACAGAGAACTCAACTGACCCAGTTACTGTGCAGCGCGAGAGAATCACAAAAGATGTTGCATGAAGTGTTGACATTTGAAGTGTGAGTCGAGATTAAAGCATTCAGTGATAAAATATACTACTAATCTTTTCTAATTTTTAGCATTTTAATAATATATACATCTAGTGGTCTGTGTCAGTATTGTGTGACAAAGGTAACAAATATTTAGATTCAAACCTTAAAAAAATGTATATATTCATAGATCATGTTCCTCCTTAATTCACCCTCACGTCAGTCTCAACTCTGCTGTGAGGCAAAAAACATATTTGACTTGGCTCCCCCACCTGGACCTCCACAGCGTGAGCCAGTGTGAAGTTTCTGTTTGGATTTGGGGAGCGCCCTACTTCTACAATCTGAGCTCCCGTGTTTGTGTTTTTGTCCACGAGCAGAGAGAGTGCAGTTTACAGTATCAGACAGTGAGGATGATGGGAATTCTCACAGAGCACAGCACGTGGTTTCTGGCTATGTGGTTCTATGGTGGCTGGGTTTGACACCGAAGTGCTTGTTGAGGCCTGATGTGAAAAAACTAGTTTGATTGAAAATAAACTAAGAATCTGGAAATTAACTTCACACATGTGGACTACTCAGACTGTATCCGATGAGCTCATGACACTTACTCAAAGTTCAGTCAAGAATCATTCATGCACAATTCCCTCTCACTCTCCCCGCTTCCTATAATCAGCCGTCTGTTGGGTGTTTACATTTGTCCAATCAGATTGTGGTATCATCTCAATCAGCCAACCACATCTTTGCCGCTAATGTTCTGCTCTCCTCTCGTCTCACTGTCATTTGTGGTCATTCCAACCCTCCTCTTCCTCCTGTGTCCTGGTCCAGTCCACTCATCATCCAACTGGGAGAAGTCATCAACCGGAGGATCAAGCACGGTAATATTAATATGGAACACACAATTAAAATCACACAAATCTTCATTTGAACACAGTTGATATTACAGTATATCAAAATAAATCACTGAATATCTGAAAAGAGAAACAGAAAAGTCCTGACATGCTTGTGAAGATGTTCCAATGTCCTCTAACAGGTCAATCTTTTCCGATTCCCTGCTCCATCAAAATAGGAAGTAATGATAGCGAGCATGCAGGGAGAATCAGAGACGTTATTCAGAATTAATATGCATGGTAATTTTGAATAACGTCCCTGATGGCCTCTCATATCTCCCTCGAGCAACATTCAGCAAGTCCAGGGCAATTTAGGAATGAAAATTTAATGGTCGACTCCCAGGGCGAGCTAACAGCCAGCATCTGCACACTCAAAAAGCAGCAGTGTCCTCCTTCAGTTTGGTTCAACAGTCAATGTAAAAATGAGGGAATTCAGCAAATAGCAGCACAGAGATACCCCAAAAGACCCCCAAAACACAAAGTATTATGGGTAGAAGAGATGGATGTGGTTCAAACACAAAGAGGCAAGTGATTTCAGCATCATTTATTCATTTGTCCTTAAGTGGCAAGAAACACAGTCACATCCCTGTTGAAGGTGCAGAATCAGATTAATTCTGACTATAAGCTAGTGGACCGAAATCAACTTTAAGAATGTACACACACACACACACACACACAGACACAGACACACACACACACACCGCAGACTGGAAAAATTATTCACAGAGACTTGAAGGAATGACTCAGCAACTTCGTGTGATGATTTAGCAGTTCCTGACATGAATTGACATTATTGTTATTAACGTGAGTGAATCACTCTCAAAACCATTATCAATGCTGGTGCAAAGACTCAGTGTTAGCAGCCGTGTGTCGATCAGAGATCTGGTGACGTCTGAGAGATTATGTGTTCATGGATGAAAATAAAATCTGAGTGAAATTCTAACAATTCAGGACTAAGTGGTTATGTGAGCGCTAGCCTCACTGATGACTAACTGCTCTACTAATCAATGCTTCTATATTAAGAGTAGATATAGTGACTACCTGTTATGGGAAAGAAGCCACTCTAGGCTGAAAATATCTATGTCCGATTCAGTTGCTCCAGACATCCTCCAGTATTTTTGCCCCCTGGTACAATATCTGGAAAATGTCTGAGTGAGCCCATGTGAGAACATATAAAGTATCCAGAAAGTTCTCAGTTAGTGGTGCCACACAAACACAATGAGGAAGCAGACTGAGCTGTCAACTCGGAAAGACAATTAGATTGGTGAGCTTTTGTTGCTAAAGGCAGACGCCAACAAAAACATATAATGGAATTTACACATCATGCTCTGCCTCCTACATGCTCCACCCATTCCCCACCCCTCACCTGAATGTTCTGGACACTATCCTGTTGTTGTGAATGTATCTGACCTGGACCATGTGTTCTTCATATGTGAAAGACAAACTCTGGAAATGTCCAGACCCAATAATCCAGAGTTGGTCTGAAAACTGGCCATAATGACAGAAATAGAGAAGTATTGTTAAATGGTTTTTGCTTGTGCGGCTTTAATGTTTTATTGATGTTCTCTTCCACTTTATTTCAAACAGCAGCAGGCAGCTGTTTTCACCCCCTTAAAAAAGAACTCGCTGTACACAGCCTGCCCAGCACAGGGCGACAAAGTAAACAACTATAGCTGGTGAATGTATAGAGGAGAATTCAGGAGCCAAAGAGCCAAATATTCATTTAAATGAATAATGCTCTAGAGAAAACAACCGAGGATGGCTTATGCTGCAAATGTTATATTAAGATGAGTGGAAGGACCTAAGTAGAAGTATATATAGTCAGGAATGCTGTATATGTGTAGGCTCCCTAAATGTGTTGTACATATTGAAGAATTTATAAGGAGGAGCTCTCTGGAGGAGTTTCCTGGAAAGGGAGCTGGAGGAATGAAAATTAACTGCAAATATGCTGCAGCACATGAGGACCCTGAACTTCTGATAGTTGTTCCTGTGTGTGGACATTCCAATACAAAAGTAAAACACTAAATTCAGAGGATATATATGTATATTTTCTTCCGCTTGATGGGGTTACGGTTA